ATGGTTGTGATGGTCATGATGATGATGATGATGATGACGATGGTGGTGATGGTGATGATGGTGGTGGCGGTGATGGTGGTGATGGTGGGGGTGGTGGTCATGATGATGACGACGATGGTGGTGATGGTAGTGGTGATGGTGATGAAGATGATGGCAGTTTTGATGATGTAATGATGGTGGTGGTGATGGTGGTGATGATGGGTATGGTGGCAGTGATGGTGGTAGTGATGGTTATCAAGATGATGGCAGTGACAACGGTGGTGGTGATGGTGGTGTTGGCGATGGTGATGAAGATGATGGCAGTGACAATGACTACAATGGTGGTGGTGGTGATAGAAGTGAAGAGGATGGTGGTGATGACGGTGGTGGTGATGGTTATCAAGATGGCAGTGACAGTGGTGGTGTGATGGTGGCGGTGGTGATGGTGGTGATGAAGATGATGGTGATGATGACGGTGTCACGTGATGGTGATGGTGATGGCAGTGACAATGACGACAGAGGTGGTGATGGAGAGGCTGAAGAGGATGGTGGTGATGATGACGGAGGTGACGGTGAAGACGATGCTGGTGAGGGGCTGGTAGAGATAAGCACGCCCACTGGTGGCGGCGTTCCTGATGTTCTCCGTGACAGGGACGAAGTGTGACAGAAGAAGAGTACACGACCCTGCCCCTCTCTCCTCCTCCGAGGATTCCTTGGGCTCCTGGGCCTTTGTGACGCTACCCAGAAAAAAATGAAAACCTCAAAAGCAACCAGAGAAGTTTAACTGGCTCCTCTCAAGAAAATGCCAGAGACTCCATCTCAGCAGGAGGAGGCAGCAGGGAGCCTGGGGTGAGCGGAGAGGAGGAGACCCAGAGGCCACGAGAGGAGGACTTCCGGGGACAGGAGGAGGAAAAGCATCGCCACAGACTTCGCTCCGTGGTGCAGGACGCAATCTCCCCTCCCGTCAAGAGTCCGCAGCAAAGACATTTCTCAGGGCTTCTGGATCCAGCTGTGATCCCCTTGGCTTCCAAAGGCTTTACGGTGGAACTGAGAAGCTTCTGGCTTAGCCGGGTCACTCAAGATGATAAGGGATCCAATAAGCACCGTGTTGGGGACGCTGGTCCCCAAAACGCTGTGCAGCGCCCCCGCCTCCTGTGCCAAGACTCCCCTCCGCGCCGAGCCAACTGCCCGGCACCTTGGAGGTCCACCCGGTCCCTGGCATGGCGAGGGAAAACAGGGCTTCCCAAGGACAGCAAATTGAGGCATCCATCACTCCAACCAGGAATTAATTAGCAATGAGTGCACAAGGGACACATGGCTAGAGACAGAGAGGGAAACAGAGGCAGGGATGGGGAGCGTGGGGACGACAGGCAGGCACGCACAGGCAGGCATGTGGGGGTGGACGTCCCGTGCCAGCGCTGGAGACGGGCCCCGACAGAGAATGGATCTGTGGCAGAAGGTAGATAAGGCTCCCGTCACCTAATGCATTTCAGTGACCGATTACCCTCCCCAGCAAACGGCTGAAGCCACACTCAGCAAGTGAACGGCCAAGAAGATATAATGTGGTAAGAATTTAAATGCAAAGAGAGAGAGCCTGCTAGAAACCATCAGGCAGAAAAATGAGCTGTAAGTATATTAGAAGCACCCAGAGCCGTGGCTGAGGTTGCAAAAGATCCATGAGTGTAACTGGTTAGCTGAATTCCAGAAAGACGAGTTATTTTCCAAGGAGTGAAAATGAGCCTTTACAGGGCGCCTGGGTGGCTCAGTCGTTAAGTGTCTGCCTTCGGCTCAGGTCATGATCCCAGGGTCCTGGGATCGAGCCCCACATCGGGCTCCCTGCTCCGCGGGGAGCCTGCTTCTCCCTCTCCCACTCCCCCTGCTTATGTTCCTGCTCTTGCTATGTCTCTCTCTGTCAAATAAATAAATAAAATCTTTAATAAAAAAAAAAAAGAAAGAAAATGAGCCTTTACAGATCTCTCCTCCACCACAATCGATGCCTCAACCAAGAGACCAACTCCACCGATTCCAGAAGAAAAGGGTCAGATCCAGGAATTCTGTACCGGGTAGACACACAACAGGGAGACCCTCAGAAACCTGCAAATCTCTGACATGCTACCAGATGAGCAAACTATGCCTAGGAATTCCCCCCGAAATATCTAGGGTCGAACCTAAGAAAGAACTCTTGGTTAGGAGAGTCATAAAAACAGCAGCAGTGATAGCTGCAATTAAATTTAAAGTTACAGAGATCAGGAAATGAAAATATTAATCATAGCTTAATTTTGATCACACTGGATTATGTCAATAAAGAGGGCAGAAGTATGGAACAAATATCTGAAGATCTCAAATTTGTTTTAATTTCACAGAAAGGCACAGGAAGTGTTTTTTTATGAGCGAGGTATAAAAACAGGAGGAAGTGCGCTCAAAAAGCGCCTGTTTTCGAGGTGGCCAGTGAAAAATGAAAGCTACAATGTTTCCCTTCGAAATCACAATCAATGCTATTAACAAAGCTGACCATCAAATGGCAAACCGAGGAACAAAGGAAGCACGCAAAATGGGAAGCATAAAAGATTCCAACAGCAGTCAGAGCAGACGGATTATAACCATAAAATCCAGCAGAAAGCAGCCTCAGTTCCCTCGTGTAAACATGCAGTCCCAGACTTGATGAAATGAGAGCCACACGGAGGCACCTCTAAACCAAAACAGCACCACAAGATTAACAAAGTCAAGTCTGTGCAAAAAATCCTGCCACCAAATTTGGTCAAATCAACAGGACAAGTCATAGTATCACTCGAAGATGCCATTAACACGGAAATGGAGGGCTGCCTGGGTGGCTCAGTCAGCTGAGCACCTGCCTTCGGCTCAGGTCATGATCCAAGGGTCCTGGGATCGAGCCCCTGCTGAGCAAGGAGCCTGCCTCTCTCCCTCAGCCTGCTGCTTCCTTTGCTTGTGCTCTCGCTCCATCAAATAAAAAATAAAAATAAAAAATAAAATACATGTTTAAGAAAAAAAGAAGAAGATAGCAGGAGGGGAAGAATGAAGGGGGGGAAATCAGAGGGGGAGACGAACCATGAGAGACCAGGGACTCTGAGAAACAAACTGAGGGTTCTAGAGGGGAGGGGGGTGGAGGATGGGTTAGCCTGGGGATGGGTATCAAAGAGGGCACGTTCTGCGTGGAGCACTGGGTGTTATGCGCAAACAATGAATCATGGAACACTACATCAAAAACTAATGATGTAATGTATGGTGATTAACATAACAATAAAAAAATAAAAAATAAAAACAGTCTCTGGCCACTGGGTCAGGAAGGCAAAGGTGGAGGCAGAGGAAGCAGTAAGGGCCGTCTGCTGTGGTCTAGGTAAGACACAAGGGTGTCGGCACAGGGAGGAGGAGCTTGAGGTAACAAGAAGCAATCAACTATGTGCATGGAGCACTGGGTGTTATGCACAAACAATGAATCATGGAACTCTACAACAAAAACTATGATGTAATGTATTTTAAAAAAAAAATAGCAAAAATAAATAAATAAAGAAACACGGCAATGGGGACTCAGATGGACAGAGCCACCTCATAAAGCAATTTTGCTTTATATCCAGAGCCTTGTACTGCTCTTATTCTTTGACTCAGTAATTCCACTTTTGATCATCCATCCTTAAGAAATCATGCAAAATGTGCATAAATGTTTATGTCCCAAGGTTACAGTATTATTCATAATAGCAAAAACTTGGTAATAATCTAATACGCCCCAAAGAGAAGAACAGTACATTTAAATATTAATATTTAAAAAGATGCTTCTGGGGCGCCTCGGTGGCTCAGATGGTTAAGCGTCTGCCTTCGGCTCAGGTCATGATCCCAGGGTCCTGGGATCGAGTCCCGCATCGGGCTCCCTGCTCCTTGGGAGTCTGCTTCTCTCTCTCTCTCCCTCTCTCTCTCTCCTCCTCTGTCTCTCATGAATAAATAAATAAAATCTTTAAAAAAAAAAATAAAAAAATAAAAAGATGCTTCTGGACAGTTTTAATAACGTGGGGAAAGTGTTAAAAATATTAGGTGGGGGAAAAAAGCAAAAAAATTTTTGTGTGCACAGAACGGTATTAAGTATATTAAAGAAATACACATGGGGACAAAAAGGCTCAGAGATAATAAGGTAATAAACTAACCTAACAGTGGTGAGGAACGTTGGGAGTAGAAATTTGAAATTCTTCTTCATATTTTTCTCTATTTCCTGAATTTTGCAAGTTGAACACGTACCTTTTATATAATAAAAACATAACCAAAGTCTATATGCATCAAACAACATGGCTAAAAATACAGTTAGGGAACACATTAAAAATACAGAGATTAAGTCATTTAGTGACAAATTAGCTCACCACTGTCCCGGAGGACAGATAAATTGGACAATAATAAACACCAGATGGAAGGAGCACTGTCAGGAAAGTGTGAAAGTCTTCCAAATGGACAAGATTATTACTGGATCTCCTGCCTAGTACACCCTCTGGGCTAAGTCTTCCCTTGTTTTGGAGCTACTCTTAAAACTCTGTAGAATGTACAATAGGAACGATATTGCAAATAATTCTCATCTACAGAAGCACACATGGATTTCGTCTGGAAGAATGCAAAGGGTTGTCACTGTCACTGGGGACGGGTCAATTCTGCATCTATTCACAAGGTCATTCCAGAATTCCTAGTTGCTTCTGTACGTGGTGTGTATTCTTTGAATGTCTCTGAATTTTCCTTTGAGCTAGCTGTGACATAGTACCCATCCTCACATTAATTCATGAGTCCTTCAAACATTCGTATTCCTTATACAGGAAGTAGAAAGCAAAGATGAATAACAAAAATAATTCTTAACTTTGATTACTCAGTCATGGAAGTAAAGTCAAAATTAAATCATGAAAACCTTTTTAAATAAATAGAGACAACATGGTAAATGATATAAAGATTTTGCATGAAAAACTGTATACACAACCCAAATATTTATAAATGAGTGACGTGAACTCTGTATTTCTGGGATTAAAATTATTGAAGAAAATTCCTATCTATGAAGCCAAAAAAAAAAAAAAAAGCCTTAAGTCCTTAAGTGATTTTCTCAATTTTGAAACCAAAACTTAAGAAGGAGTGACTGGTGAGGGGGGGGATGCCTGGGTGGCTCTGTTGGTTAAGCACCTGACTCTTGATTTGGGCTCAGGTCGTGATTTCAGGGTTGTGGGATCGGGGATGGAGCCCCAAGTCGGGCTCCACGCTCAGTGGGGTGTCCGCTGGAGCTTCTCTCTCCTTCTCCCTCTGCCCCTCCCCCCCTTGCTCGCACGCTCTCTAAAATAAATAATAAAATCTTAAAAAAAAATAGGCGGGCGCCTGGGTGGCTCAGTTGGTTAAGCGACTGCCTTCGGCTCAGGTCATGATCCTGGAGTCCCGGCATCGAGTCCCACATCGGGCTCCTGCTCAGCGGGGAGTCTGCTTCTCCCTCTGACCCTCTTCCCTCTCGTGCTTTCTATCTCTCATTCTCTCTCTCTCTCAAATAAAATCTTAAAAAAAAAATAGGCAAAACTGTCAAATAGAAATTTTTTAAAATGTAGCACAACAGGACAAAAAACAAGACTAGAGCTATAGATGTTTTGTTCAATTTAATCTGCATGAAGTGCCTGTTTTGGGTCAAAGAAGGTTTTAGATTAAAAAAAAAAAAATCAACAACATACTCTGCATGACCGATCGCGAAGCTGAACGTGTTTGTGACCGTTTTGTTTAAAACTGCACTAAAATGGACACAAAAAGTCAACCACTTAACTGAACCCAGGATTGACCTCAAAAACCTATGAAAAGACTGCTCCTCCCCTGTGGAGGACCTTGACCCCAGCTTCCTGGATAAATTCTATTTTTGAATAGAAAAAGGATTCTGTGGCAGAGAAGCTGATTCACACACAGCAGAATCTTCAAGCCCACCTAAATTCATTCCCAATCATCTCCGAGAGAGACCGAGAGAACGCAGCCCCATGACGGAGGCATAGGGCCCCCGTCGGGGTTTCTCACAGGAAGGGAAGGACTGTCCAACAGAAGAGACTCTAAGAATAGAATCCACCCCACCAATCGCTGAAGAGAATCATGTCATCAGAAAGGCAATTTAAAAAATTCACTACCACCTCCTAAGACGAAATTTGACGAAGGGAATGCAAAAATATATATTTTTTTTTACAGGCTGAAGAGGATTCTAAAATAAGAGCTGGTATTAATATTGTCATTAGCGGAGAAACACCGGAGAGACGCACTTGAAAATCACAAGCCAAACAAGGACAGCTGACGCAGCAGCACGGGGCTGCAGAATCTGGGGGAGGGAAGGTGGCAGGGCGCGCCCAGATCTAAGACGACCGCGCAGGAGACACCAAGAAGCGATGCGCACTAGCTCACAACTCACGCCAGGACCGTGCATCCGCGCGGGCCAACGACTCAACACAGACGGGCGGTGCAAGCGAAGCATCTGGATTAACCAACGAGCTGCACTTCTACCAACAAAACTCGGTTAGAAAACAAGCCAGAAAAAGGAATGTCCACCGCCGCCGCTGCAAACAGCGTTACCATCACCGCTAGAAACGCCCCGAAGGCTGCACTGAGCATCACGAGCGCATGCCTTCCCAGGGCAGCATCTCCAAACCCGGCCCGAGTTCTACTGGGAGATGTTAAAATCGGCTCCTTGGTGGAGAATGAGGTCTCTCCGACGAAGAGTTATGACCAAAGACCAAGAAGTAACTGTGCATGTGGGTGACACCTCGAGACGGCATCGCTGGGAGGTGGCTCCACCTCGAGGGATCCCATGGGGGGCACGTGGGACGCGTCCCCCCGGGGCCATCAGGCATGGAGCTGGGCTGCTACCCTGGTCTGGGCAGGGATTCCAGAGTCTGGGCTCTTTCCATGCTCCCCTGCAAACCCACTGCCCACCTGATACATTCAGAACGTCCGAAGTCTGGACAGATGAACAATGACAGGCAAGCGGTCTTACACGACATTTAAAACAGGCTCTAAAGCGTGCCTGGGGGGCTCAGTTGTTAAGCGTCTGCCTTCGGCTCAGGTCATGGTCCCAGGGTCCTGGGATCGAGCCCCGCATCGGGCTCCCTGCTCCGCGGGGAGGCCTGCTTCTCCCTCTCCCACTCCCCCTGCTTGTGTTCGCTCTCTCGCTGTGTCTCCCTCTGTCAAATAAATAAATAAAATCTTAATAAAAATAAATAAATAAATAAATAAATAAATAAATAAATAAATAAATAAGCAAGCTCTAAGACGCCAAGACTCGTGATAGCAGGGCAGGAGGAGAGGAATGGAAATGTGGGTGCATGGAGGCTCAGGATCAGGGCCGGCTTTTCTGAGACCTGGAGGAAGAGAGGGGTTCCCTGATAGACGCAGGGCAGTAACTGAGTACCATTTGAAAAAGCTTACAGAATTCATCTTCTGTCCAGACAGACGACAGGAGCCTAATGATAAAACAGCCACCTCTGCTCTGTGCCAGGCCCCGTGCTAAGTAGCCGAGAGACCTTACTTCCTTCAGTCCCCGAGGACTCGAAGGTGAACACTGTACTCCACAGACAGAGAAAACTGAGGCTTGCGGGGGGAGGGACTGGCTCGGGGTCCTTCCGCCAGTGTCCCTCAGTGCGACCCGCTCCCCACTCCCTCCCTGCACGCCTGTTCGGTGTGCCCCCCTCCCCCCGGGCGAGCTCCACACCTCTTGCCGGGTCCCTGCCTCGGCTTCTCTCAGTTCGCCTGCAGCTATGGCCATCAGGCTACGACTCTGCAGGGTTCCCTCCTCCGAGCCTGTGTGCATGGCTACGAAATGGGGCGGGGAGAGTGTGACAGTGGCTGTACCGCAGGGCTGGCCAGTGCGCCTCTTCTCTGGATGCCTGCCCCTCTGGCAGCCCCCGGCCCAGCGGGGTGCAGACTCCGAGGCTGGGGAATGGGCTGCTTCTGCCCCTGAGCGGCAGCAGAGAAGGCGCGACGCCCAGCCCCCATCCTGGCCCCGGCTCCCTGCCTTCATCCTCCTCCGGGGCACACGAGGCGGGGACAGGGCTGCGGGTAGAGCCGCTGGAGCCGCCCCCGAGACCTCTCTCCGGGACACGCAGGGACCCCAGCAGTGGGCCTGCTCCCAACACTCCGAACAGTCCTGCCACCCAGACAGGGTTCTCACACCGGACACTGGGCAAGCCCTCGGCCAAGGGCAGCCGCAGGAACCCGCGCCTTTCCGTCCCCTGCCGTCCCGTAACCCTGCTACAGGAGGGCCCGAGACTGTCGGGGGCCTCGCCTGTCCGAGGGCGCCGGAGGGCTCCGGGAGGGCCCTGCTCACTGCCTAGGACCACGTGCCCAGACCACGCCCGACTCCAGGAAACGGCCTCGCGCCCCAAACCAGACACCGCAGCACCAGGCCCTTTGCCGAGCCCCTCCATCCACCTCCCAGCTTCCATCAGCTCCCTCTGGGAGCCCCAAGTAAAGCCCACGCCAGAGCCCGACCCACCCAGCACTTGGCATCCCAAATCCAGGCCCCCTTGGGTGAGGATGCCCAGGGAGAAATCTCAGACCCCGGAGTCCCAGGGGCCACCCACGCCGCCTGACCTTCTTGGTGTAGCCCATGGCCTTCAGGACAGAGTGATTCAAGGTCTCCAAGGAGGCCAAGACGTCCTCATAATCCCCCATGTGGTCCACAAAGTAATCTGAGGGAAGGGAAAGCAAAGGTCAGGGTGAGAGGAGCAGGGCCCCACGCCCCCCCTCGGGCCCTCCCAGGAACCCCACCTGTGCCCCCAACACTGCCCCGAGTCCCATCCTGCCACCCCCAGTCCTGGTCCCCGCAGAGCCGGGCACCTACCGCACAGCTCCTTGGTGTCCACGTGGCTGCAGAGAGACGGAGGGAGACTCAGGTGAGGCCCATCCCAACCGCCCTCCCCCTCCGCGGGCCCCGGGCTGCCGCCGCACCCTATCTGTCATCATCGTCCATGCCGGCCCCATGAGCCCTGCTTCATGGATGAGGTCAAGGATGCCAGCCCTCCCAAGGACGGAGCAGGGTCCACATCTGCATGTCCTCTGACCCCACCACCACTCACTTCCTCTCCCCCACTCTGCCGCCCGAGTCATGAGCATACGGGACCTGGAACGGGGCTAAGCCAGGGGCTGTGAGAAGGGAGGGGATGGACAGAAGGTGGGGGGCCCATGACTAGTACAGGCTTCCCCCGGGGCATCCCCGTCTGTTGGGTCCTGGGACAGCCCTCCTTGTCCCTACCCTTGCCCTGGGGTCCCGTGTCCCCATTCCTACACCGTGGAGAGGATTCTGTGCTTCCTCAGAGGAGACTAAGCCCCAGAATGCCACCCATGCTGGGGAAGGTACATGCAGCAGCCTCAGAGCAGAGACGTGGTGGTGGGGCGTGCTAGGGGCAGATGCCAAGGGACCCGGGTGTCTGTGCAGGTTCTGATGACCTGGCCCTTTCTGGGCCCCAGTTCCTTCACTGAGAGAGGAGGGGCTGCCCTGGGCTGGAGAGCTCCTGGAACCCCAGGTCAGTAAGATGTGTCTGGGAGAAGGCTCCTATGGCCAAATAAATCTGGGTTCAGAGGCTTTGGAAGCCCTGTCTTGGAGCTTTCTCTAAGTCACATCCCATGTTAAATGTTCTGACAAGTCCTGCAGAAAGGAAGCCTGTTTAATCGTGCTTAAAGAGGATTTCAACCAAAGCCTCCTCCCTTCCCCCCTCCCGACCCAGTTGGCCCAACACAAAAGGCACCAGGACAATGAATAAACCAAGAGGCACCCTGGCCCTTTGAAAACTCCCTGGGGGACGGCAGGAAGCTCTCAGAAACCTCCATCTGTTGGCAGAAACCTAGCCCTTCACGGGGGTCTGCAGCAGGAAGCTGTTTCCAGGGGCCGTCCCCAGACAGGGACACCTGCCCACCCTGGTCCCCAGCCTATGCGTCCCAGGACACTCTCAGCCCCAACCTCTGGTCCAGGACACCACTGTGCTGGGTCCCTTGCAGGCATGCGTGGTGGCAGCTCCTCGTCCAGACCACCTCCTGCCTGTCTCAGGGGACGCCAGCTCATCAAACCTGCTCCAAGCAGCATCCCGAACTCTGGTCCCCATGCCTGCGTGGGCCCGAGGAAAGGGATGGGCTGCGGGGTGGAGCAGGGGGCCGGGCCTCACCCTGCCTGGGGAATCCCAGGGGGCGAGGAGGTGGTGGGGTCGGTAAGTACGCACTTGGCTCAGGAATGGGTCAGGCCAGAATTTTTGTTAGTTCTGAGATGCAAGTTCGGGGGGTTACGATGGGAGTTAGCTAGATAGAAGCGGGGTTAAACTCAGAGCTACGACTAGTATCTAGTCCGTTTGGTTTAAGACAGGACCAGTGAGGATCAAGGTCACGGAGTTCACATCGGGACTGGGGATGAGCAAGAGGTGCCGGGGTCAGAACTGGGCTGAGTGGGCAGGAGGCGGAGGTCACTACCAACTTTCCCTTTTCATTACCCTGTGGACAAGCTGCAGAATCGAGGGTCTATCCCTCCTTAGCCACGTGTGCTCAGGAAAGACCAACGTGTCAATGTGATGTCAACGTGCCCACTGCCCAGGTCACCCCGGCCGGTGGGGGCCAAACAGATCAGACTTTTGGGTCAGCGAGTGTGGGGAAGTTTCGGGTCTCCTGTCCCTCCGGGGGAGTGGGAGACAGAGACGGATCACCTCGCCGAGGGGAAGATGGCCCTCCCCAGACCCACTGCGCGCCCCAGGCCCAGCAACGGGGGCCTGGCTCACTTGGTGTTGTCGGAGTCGATCGTGTGGAAGAGATCCTCTAGTTCTTTCTCGTTGAGGACGCCATCTGCGAAGAAGAGCTGGAACTCCTCCAAGGACAACTTCCCATCGTCTGCAAGCAAGGGAGGAAGGAGGTAGAGCAGCTGGTGTCTAAGAGATAAGACATCCCCAAATCCAGACGATTCCCAAATCAACAGATAAACTCTAGCCAGATAATCTCCGCCCGCCCAGCGAATGCCCAAATTAACCAGTAAACTCTGGGCCGCAGAAAATCACCAACTCATCCAGCTGGTTCCCAAGCCAACATATCAGCTCCCATTTACCCATAATCCCCAAGCCAGCAAACACGACAAGTAGCAGCTAATTTCCTGGGGCTCATTTACTGACAGGTTCAACGAACGGCACCTGCTCCCGGCCAGGTGCTCTTCTCAACCGATTCGCCTGGCCACCTGGGGGTGGGTATGGCTCACGGGAGCACCACGCTGACGCCAGGGGGTCTGAGGACCATTCTCTCTTGCTTCCAAATGCCCATATAATTCCCCCCCCCCATATTGGCATCATCTCCAACCCCAGCACCCAGGTCCTGACTCAGGGGAGGGAACACCTCCTCACCACTCTGCCAACTTCGGGCCCAAACTTTCATACTGTCTGATGGGAGACAGCTGCCCACAGCCGTCTGGTTCTCACCCTGCCAGAGACCCAACCGTGAAGACGCCAAACCGCATGGGAAGGAGGCCCCAGGCCTGCCCGGGCCCCCCGCCCCCAGCACTGCCCAGCCTCTGTGGGCCTGGGATGGGAGGGGCTCCACAGCCACTGTGTTCCACAGGCCCCACCCCTGTCTCACCTCTTCTCCCTCCGCCTGTAGCCCCCCCTGGACACCAGCATCTGCGGGGGGGGGGCGTCTCATGGGCTGGGGGTACGTGGTCACAGACAGAGGGGCTTGCGGCAGAACCCGTGACTCTGGGAGACTCAGTCCCCAAGCTTCCCCCTCTGCAACTTCCTTCTACCTGGGCGCACCTGCTGATCTCAACCCCCCTGTGGCCTCCGCCCCCTCCTCAATGATCTCAGACCAGTTCCTGCTGCTCCTTAAAGGAGCCACGTCTGTGGGAGGCCGTGGACGTCAGGGAGAGGGTAGCCCCCAGCCCCTCGGCACAGACCCCCTGCTGTTACTTCCAGCCAATCTGCCACCAGAGTCCCTACAAGCCCATGTGGTACCTCTGTGTGGATTAGAAAGAGAGGCCCCTTCCTGGTCCGGGAGGGAGAAGGGGGACAGGGCACAGGGTTTGGGCAGAGGGAGAGACACCCTCTCAGCCGACCCCCCACTGAGCGGGGCTCCATCCCAGGACCCTGAGATCATGACCTGAGCTGACCCAGAGTCGGACGCTTAACTCACAGAGCCACCCAGGTGCCCCCATTCTTGTATTTTAAAGGCTTGGGATGATCTATCTCTGCTCCCACAAACCCTGCAGGGGCTCAAAGCAGGACACAGGTACCAGCTCAGCAGAGGGAGACCCCCGAACCTTGCATGGCTTCCCTCCGCCTGTCTTCCCTCTGGCCCATCAGGCCTACGGTGTCAGGCGCTGGGAGAGAGGGAGAAAATGAATGTGCTGTAGGGAGGGGTGGGCTGAGGGCAACCTCCCAGTGCGCCTCTGACATCCGGGCTCAAGGTTCGAGGTCACAGAGGGAAATGAATTTGTAACTTTCAAAAACAAGAGTTCCCCACACCCCACAACAAAGCAGACAAGCCCTGCCCCGCCCCTACACACACTCACAGAAAAAAACAACCGTGAAAAGGACTTCACGCTACCAGCTGTGAACTATGCAAGCTCCACGGTGGCTCTTTCTGTTTTTGAAAGAGAGGAGACTTTCCAAGTTTCCTCTGGCAAGACGGCTGATAAAAACAAGGAGGCACCGCGCAGAACTGCGGCCGACACACGGGCCTCTTTCTGTGAGTTCAGTCTTCACAAGACCCCCATTTTATAGAGTGGTAAACCGAGACACAGAGCCGCTAAAGGATCCACAGCTGGGGACAGTCTTCTGGCGAGACCCCTGACCCCTGCCACAGGGCCGTGTGGAAGGGCTGAGGCCAGGTCTGCGCTCAGGGGAAGCGTGCGGTGATTGATTAGTCATGGCTGCCACGGGCACAGCATTGGGGGTGGTGGGGGGCATCTCCCAGCCTCCATATCCTCCTGCCTGTCCAGGTTCCTCCACCCAGTCTGCACTCACGAGAGCAGGCACAGAGACACCCGCCAGGCCTCCGGAGCACAGTCTGCTGGGCTGACATTTACCTTAAATGTTCTACCACGGCCCTAATGAACCCCAGTCAGCCAATGAGGGAGGTAACAGCTCCTACCCAGGCCTCTGTACCATCCGAGGAGCGGGCCTGGCACCCCCACTCCCAGCAAGGACACCGAGCAGGCCGTTTGCAGGTGTCTTCGCTAATGAGCATGAGCTCAGCCCGTCACAGTGACCTTTCAAATGCCAGGACTCTGCCTGAGTCCATGTCCCCGGAGAGAAATGCAGTCTGGCACTCACCCCTCCGCTGGACGCCACCTGCCCACCCTTCCAGGCTTCGTGCCCCGGCTGCGGGCAGACCCCTGACCCTCGGCCTCCCCTCAGGAGCCACGATGGGTCTATCTCAATGAAGACGCCTCTGCCCCGGGAGTCGCCAGCACAGGCCAGCCCCGAGCGCCTGGCCCTGGGATCCTGGAGGCTCATGCCAGGAGACCATGCCCCGCCTTGCACCCCCGGGCATCGCTCCTGCGGATGCCGGGGACAAGACCAGCACCCACCTGTGTGCGACCTCCGTGTGCGCGCCGTCTGCAGCTCCAGCTGCACCTGCGAGCACACTCGCTCCCAGCCCCTCCCCCAGGCGTGCTCTTGATCAGAGCTGTCTACACTGCTCCCCAGCCGAGGATCTGCAGTCCCGCACCCTCGTGCTCCAGGCCCGCGCTTCGGTCATCGCTAAAAAGGGGGTGATGTTTCTTATCCCAGCAGGAGCACAGTGAAGCCCCAGTGAGGTCGATGAATGGGTGCTCGGTGGCCGCCGGCAGACCCCGGATGGTAAACTCCCCGCGGAGTGCAGGTAGGAACCAAACACCTGTTGGCAAATCACAGCATCCACGCCCACACGTGGCATCGGGCTCACGCTTCCCCATGGCCTGGGCACCCGGACTCTGCAACAGCCCCACCAGGGCCCTCTGAGGGGGTCCTGGTGTCATCATGCCCACTTGCGGATGGGGAAACTGAGGCCCCGAGTATCTCCTGACTGGCCTGAGGCCACAGAGCTGGCAAGTGGCAGAGCCAGGACTGTGACAGAGAAGAGACTCCACCTCCTCACGAGGCCCGAAGCTCCTCTGGGACCGACATCACACATCTTAGCCCGGTGACAACCCCCCAGGGCCACTCAGCGGCGGTGGCCGGGAAGACCTGAGGCCCCAGGAGGAGGGTGGGCTCCGCCTCTGTGGGGGCTGCGGAGCCAAGTCGAGGGACCCCACAGCTGTGCTCAGGGGGCAGAAACACGGTCTCCGACAGGGCAAGAAGTGACTAGGAGGAGACCCCATCTGTGTCTGAAGGGAGGCCAGCGCACCGCTCCCCCCCACACCAGGCAGGTGCGTGCGCACACGGGTCCACGCACACTCGGGGTGTCCAGCGAGGCAGAGGCACGGCCACGCACACCCGCAGCCGCCCGCGGGGAGACCCACAGCCAGACTCCCGCTGCGCCCCATGGCCGTGCACAGCCGCATTCAGCAAGGAACAGACCCTACAGACGTTTGCAAGGGCCCTACTGTGTGCCAGGCGTTCGGGCCCACGACGGGGACAAGCCTGTACTCCTACCGGCCGGAGGCTCAGGATGTGCGCAGGTGACCACGTGGCCCCAGGCTGAAGACGCCTGCGTCAGGGATCGAACCCCTTAAGCCCCTGCTCCAACCTTGGAGGCTGTTTGGGCCCAGATGCCACAAGCACTTCTCGAGGTCACTGAAGGCCCCCCACATCCCTCTCCCTCCTCCCTGCTCCAAATGGAGCTGCTGCTGAGAGTCCTATGTCCCAAGAGGCCTGGGAGGGGCCACCGTCACGCCCAAGGAAGGGGGCAGGGCATGGAGACCCCTGGGCCCTGACTTCCAGTCCAGGCCTGTGCACCCCCATCCCCCAAGGCCTCACGCTCCACCCCCAAACACCATGGGGGGATGGGTCAGCAGTAACCCCCACGGTCAGGGAGGGGTTGCGGGGCCCAGGTTAGAGCTGCCACCTGTAACTCCAGCCTACGCAGGACAGGTGCTGGGGTGTGAGGACCTCCTGTTCCCCACCACCCTTCCCACATCCCCTCCCTGCATTTTTCAACAGCCAAGGACATAGGCACGTTAAGTGTTATCAGCCCACTTTAGAGATGGGGAAGCTGAGGCCTGCAGCGGGACTATGTCTTGGCTAAAGGCCACGGAGCATTGCTCTGGTCCCAGGAATAAGGACAGCGGTGTTTATATGAAGTTGTGCTGCGCTTTGCTGTGACTGAGGCTCAGGGGGGCCCTTGGGAAATCTGACCCTTCTCAGGCCCCCACCTCCCTTGTACAGCGGAAAGCCTTTCCAAGAAGCCAGGAGAAGTGCAGTGCCATGAATCCACTGGCCCCGACAATGTGCCGCTCACATCGTTGGGGAGGACCCCTGACGTGGGGAAAAGTCCGGGCGTCTGCAGCACATGAGTCCGTGTCCCCGGAGAGAAATGCACTCTGGCACTCACCCCTCCGCTGGACGCCACCTGCCCACCCTTCCAGGCTTCGTGCCCCGGCTGCGGGCAGACCCCTGACCCTCGGCCTCCCCTCAGGAGCCACGATGGGTCTATCTCAATGAAGACGCCTCTGCCCCGGGAGTCGCCAGCACAGGCCCTGCAGCTGGGCGACCCTGAGCAAGTCACTTAACCTCTCTGGACCACTAGGGAATTGTCAGAACAGGAGCAAACAGCACCGAGTGCATGAGGTCGTGGTGAGGAAGACACGCATCAGGGCCTGGGAAGGGCCTAGAGTGAGGCTGGGGACTTCCTTAAAGGGTGGTCACTGGGGACCCCCTACACGGGCTGCTCTGGTCCAGCCCAGCTGCAGGAGGGCTAACGTTCCCCAAGCACCTACTACGTGCAAGACATCCGGGCATCACGGACGCCAGCTCACTGAATCCCTGTGGCATCCCTACTAAGTAGGAACTACGGGAATTCCACGGTACAGACAGGTAAACTGAGGCATGGGGCAGAGCCAGGATTCGGCCTTCTGACTTCAGGACATCCTGTACTTTTAACCTTTAGGTGCAAGGCTGTCCACGTCCCGACCCTGGGCCCCTGCCCCTGAAGCATCAGAACAGAAGGAGCCAGGGCTCATTCAGGGCACAGCTTGGGAGGGAAACTCACCGTTTTTGTCGGCCCGGCGGAAAATCTGCAAAGAAAAGTACAGTCAGCGTGGGCCCCAGAGGGGCGGGCGCCCTCCAGTGGCTTCTGACTCATCTTGGGATCCCACTCCTCCCGGGCAGGGGGGGGAAGGGGGGGTGCGGAGCAGCCCCTCCCCCAAGAGGAGACCCCGGCTGGGATCCAGGGCAGGACCGAGCTTCAGGCAGAGCCCTCCCAGCGGCCGAGGAAGCAGCGCCCACTCTCCTTCTGGGCCGCCAGCCTGCCCACGGCCACACTGACAGACATGCGCGCGCCCGTCCACATGCTTGCGGGTGTGCTTCCAGAGCCAGCGGTCCACGCGGCCGCGCCCACTGTGCTACGCTCAGTCACACACTCAGCATCCGTGGCCCCCGGACGCAGCCACTGCACCCCTCCCAGAGCCCCGCGGGAGCCCCGCTGTCCTCCAGGGAGGTTGATTAGGTCTAAACAGAGGTGTCTGCTAAGGGAACCTCGAGGCCCGGTGACTGGGCCAGCCAGGGGTGGGATTGGATTATTTTACGGGGGGCAGGGAGGGGGTGGAAGCCAGCCACCAAGCTGGAAACCCAGCTGCAGATGCGAGGTTCTGGCTGCAGGGGGAGGGGAAGGGGGAGGTGACAGCCACCCCCCCCAAACCTGAGCTGAGACCAGATGACTACTCCTGGTATTTTTAGGACGAGGGCAGCCATGCTGCTAAGAAGGAGCCGGGGGTGGGGGGGCATCACCCCCTCTGACCATCCCACCTTTGGTTCTTGCCCTGGGGCCAAGAACAGATGTCCCCCCCTCCCCGCGCCCAAGCACCTGAGACTGTGACAGATTGAAGCCGAAGCTCAGGAAGGGCTTCTCAGGCATCACCCCCTTCCCGCAGCCGAAACCCTAGTCTGGGGTACTTGGGCAGGAGCCACTGTGGCTGGGGTAGAAGGGGGAGCAATGACCACAGCACCCTGGGCCCTCCACAGCCCTGCTCCTGACTGCAAAGTTCCCCGAGGCCAGGGGTCCCCACCCTCAGGGGTCCACGATGGCCACACCAAACAAGCAACCGAGGCAGACCTCGTGATGTGGCTCCAGGCGTGTGTGTGTGTGTGTGTGTGTGTGTGTGTGTGTGTCTTGAGAGAAGATCTGGCTGTGCGTGCGTGCGTGTGTGTGTGTGTGTCCGCGGGCAGCCACAAGCACGCACAGCACAGTGCCCCCTGCCCTGCCCAGCCCTCTCTGCACGGAGCCAACTGTGGGTTCCAGCAGAGAGGAAGGGAAGGGGCGAGGAAATCCACGCTTCCCCCCAACAAACACACAGACACAACCCTCCCCAAAACCCACCAGGCACAGGACCCTCACTGGGACACGCACAACCCACAGCTATGCTGTTAGGAGGTGGGGGTGGTGCCCAGGATAGAGCCCCCGCCGCCCCTCCTTCACTCTATAGAGCGAGCCTCCCACCCTCAGCAGTCCATCCTGTAGAAGCTTCCTCCCACTCCTGGGGAGTGGGTGGGAGGGTGAGGTGGGCTTCCCAGAGGTGGGTGGTTTGGATCCCAGAGGGGATGGAGGGGTGGTTTGAGTAGAGGGTATGGAAGGAGTGGAAGACAGAGGGGGCTCCTAGGGGAGTGGGGGGTGGTGGGGGCCGGCAGCCCAGAGGGGTCCAGGCTCAGAGCAGATGGGGGTGGCCCCAGCTCTCCTGAAAGAAGGGGGGAAGACACAGGTGGGGAGGGGGCTTCACTTTCAAAGAGCTGGTGCCTGGGGTGAAAAGGGAAAGTGCTTTGGGGATGAGAATGCATGGGCTCAGGGTCCATGGCCAGGATGAGAAAAGGGGCCCCGGGGCCAGAGGCTGGAAGGGGAGGGGGTCTCAGAAGAGTAGCGATTCAGGCAGGGATCTGGGATGGAGAGGAGAAGGGGGCTGGAGGCGGCAGGGGCTCCCGTCCCGACAGGGATGAGGGCAAAGGGTGGGGTGCAGGGCTGGGGAAAGGGTAAGGGTTCGGCCAGCACAAAAGTAGGGGGGCGGTGGCCAGGTCGAAGGGCTCCAGGGTCCCGGCTCCGAGAAGGTGGGGATCCCGAGAAATAGAGGGAGGGGGCGGGAGGATGAGGACCGTCCTGGCCCAGGGACGAGGCTAGACTGGGATGGAGACCGGACGGGACACAGAGCGGCTGGCGTCGCGCTCTGGGACGCAGACGGGAAAGGGCCGGGGGTCCCCCGCCCGGGGAGGAGGGGGCCTCGCGGGTCCCGGCGGGGGCGCAGGAGGGCGGCGTCGGGAGCGCCCGGGTGGGAGGAGGGGGCTCGGGGTCCCGGCCGGCGCGTACTCACGTCCAGGATGACGGCGGTGCCCCCGCGCGGCGAGCCGGGCCCGGGGCCGGGGCCGGGGTCCGCAGCTGGGGCGTCGTGGGCGTCGGGGGCCAGCGGCGCCCGGGGCTCGCCCATCCTGGCGCCCACCCAGCGCAGCAGCCCGCCCAGCGCCCGGCCCTGCGGCGGCGGCTCCCGGAGCAGCCTGTGCGCGCCGGCCCTGCACAGGCGCGCCGCCCGCTCGCACATCGCGCCGCGCCCGCCGCC